TGTTTGGCTGTAGGAGTCAAAATCAGATGGATTTCAAACAGATTCCCCTGGCTGCTTCTTGGAGAATGGCTCAAAGGGAGGGTCAGAGTGGATGAAGGAAGACCACAATGGGGCTAATTTGTAGTGCAGGTGAGAGGTGACTGGGCAGAGAGGACGGAGGGTGCATTCCAGGGATGTTTAGTGACATAGGCAGTCCTGATGGATCTCATGGCACATGAATTTTCTGCCAACATCTGAGACCTATTTAAGCAAGGCCAGTGGTGGGGACAGAAAAAAGCAGGAACAGTCACTCTTACCAATGTCCCTTCCCTCACTCCTCCCATCCTCCTCCCAGTAAAACAGCCTGGACCCCATCTCTCTCTCCATGTGAACACTTGTCATAGTTGTGTTGCACACGTGGGCTGAGAGGTTGTTTATTGCCTGCCCATCATACAAGACTCTAAGCTCCCCCAGGCAGAGAACATGTCCATTGAGTTTGCATATGTGCCCAATGCCAAGCATTGCACCTGGCTCCGAGCACGTGCTTAGTGAGATTGTGTCCTTTGGTGGTGGGGACATCCCATATCATACCAATTTGAACCTCATACCACTGGGTGAACTACACATGAGGAAATTGAGACCTGAAAAAATAAGACAATTATACAAGTCAGCACATGAGTAAGTGACCAGCCTGGCTCCAATCCCACACCTTCTCAGAGTTGTGACCTGCCCAAAGTCATTGTGACCTCTCCAAAGGCACTTGGACCAGGATTATGCACCTGAAACCAGCCACACCTGTGCCCTGGAGGCCTGTCCTCCAGGGGATGGGCACCCTGTCTTTTCGCACTGGCACCTTCCTCTCTCACACTGGGCACGTAGGGCTCTGCACCGCCATTCCATACTAACGAAACCCTTTGCTGTCCAATTTCTCACTCTTCCTCATACTTCCATACTGAGGAGGTGATTCGAGCCCACTCTAAATTCCATTTCACCGTGCCAGAATCTGGATCAATCACCGAGAACCCTCCGCAGAAGAACCTAGCCCCTCTTCTGGTAACTTCAGTCTCACTAGGTTCTATTCTAGGATCAGACTGCCAGACCTGCCCAAGGGTGAGGGACCCGGCCCTGCAGCCCTCCCTCTGGGCCCAAGGCATCTTGTGTATGCAAATCACTGCTGGCTTTCTTGGCCAGAGCAGAAGGGTAGGAATAACCTAAATTTGCAGAGATTTGGTTAAAAAAAAAAATCATGTCCCACAGCTGCTCCAGCACACCAAGCAGCCCTCTTAAAAGTGAGATAGATCCATTATGCACTGAAATAGGAAACAGATCTATATGCATTGTTTGGGAAGAAAAAGGCTGAATTGCAAACTAGAATGTACAATCTGACTTCACACATGGTGGATTATGGCTCAGTTAACAGTCTGGAGTAATACACCCAAGATACCAGCCCCCTAGTTATCCCTGGAGGGTGAAATTAGGGGGAATTTGATTTTACAGTGTATATTGCTGCTGTGATAGGCTTTTATATTTTTAGCACAAACAATACTCACTTCGAGTGAATGGAAAGACAAATTAAAATGGAGGCGAGTTCTCAGAATAGACCACTGGTCTATTTAACACATTTAATGCTGCTGCTCCTTCCAGCATCCTGATGAGAATATTCATAGCTAACAGTCACTGACCATTGCTGTGCACCCAGCACTGTCCCAAGCCCTTCATTTCCAATCACTCTTTCAGTCCTCATGACACCTGTAAGGTTGGTACCAATATCAGACATGAAAAGCATTCTGAGATACAGCGTGTGGCTACGTGAGAGGCACTGGACCCTCTCTGCCTGGGTTCAAATCCTGTTTTCACTTTTTGGCCAGGAGTTAAGTAAGTTACTTAAACTCTCTGACTCAGTTTCCCCATTTGTAAAAAAAAAGGAATAATGACAGTTTCCAATTTTAACACGCTAAGTAGCATCCCCCTCTATTTTTTCACCCCAGCTATTAGATTTAAAGTAGATAGTGTGTGAGTGACCTGGGAATATGAGTATTGATCTCTATTTTTTCTTCACATATAAGCTAGCCAGTTCTGTTTTTGCAGAATTTATGAATGACTTTAGTTCAATTTAGTTGCTTGATATTTTTTTCATTTCCTTTCTTTTCTTTTTTTTTGACAGCTGGCATTTGGGGGACCCGAACCCTTGACCTTGTGTTATCAGCACTGAACTCTAACCAAGTGAGCTAACTGGCTAGCCCTTGCTCTCTTAAGATGACTTAATTTTCCTATTTTTATTATGCAAGTAATAGTATTTATGGCAAAAAAAAAAATAAGAAAGACTAAAATAATACATAAACCACAGATAAATTTTATACATATTTATATGTGTTACATTTATTATATACTTATAGATCCTCAAATTTAGCGTGTTTTAAGACTCATTTTGTTGGTCCATTATATTTCAAGATTCTCAGTCTATGTCAAAAATATACATTTTCAACATCAATGACTACATACTATTTACAATATATGGTGTAATATAATCTCCCCCCAGAAATTTTTTTTTCCATGTGACCATTTCCTAGTATCCCCTAGAAATTTGACTCTGATCTTTTCTGGGGGGCAAAGAAAACATTCATAGCAAAATAACACATTTAACGGAAAGTTTTCCCCCATTTTCCCTAGCAGAGATTCATCCATGGTCAATAGAAGAGAAAATGCTAAGACTTATGACTCTTTTCAACATGAACTTCAGGATTATATTAGAAAACAGAAAGCCAGAGGATTAAAACCAAAGGTTTGCTTTGGAAAGGTGACAGAAGACTCTGCCTACCAAGAAAGGGGCCACGCTGGCCCCAAACCTCCGAAGCTGGAGCAGCGACCCTCCTTTGGGAGGCCACAAGAGTTCCCCATGCCCTACGAAAGCCTGAGGACAGTGGACAGCCAGGTACCTCCCCGGCCTGAAATTCGTCACCCCAGACAGAGACTGGAATCTCTAAACCACCGTCAGAAAAATCACGACCGCTTCTTCCAAAACCCATGGCTTCCAAGCCCCCCTGTGCAAGAAGAGAAGCCCGGGCCCCACGGAGCACGAGGCAGGGATGGTCCCCTTGGCCTCCCCTGTGAGGACCGCAGCCCCGTCCAGCGGGCAGACCGTCGAGACCGAGGCCAGCGGACAAGGGACAGGGAGGACCGAAGAGGAGGAGCCACCGGGGAGGCTGATGCCCACAAAGAGAACAGAGGCCTGGGCAGGAGCGGGGCCGAGCGGCCACCAGCCAGCACAGAGAAGCCCAGTCGCAGAAAGAAGAGCCACCCTGGAGCCACCGCGAAAAAGGGAAGAAGATCCCGCAGAGAGAAGGGGCCTGGCAGACATGGCCCAGAGGAGAGGGACTTGTGGGACGAGGCCATCCTGGGCACTTGTTACTGAGGGTTGGGGGTTGGGGGTCCTGGTGTTACGTGATTTGAATCTGTTGGAAAGCAATGAAGCGGCCACCAGCTGCAAAGAAAATAAAATCTCGTCCCTGCCTCACACTCCGTTCCAATATAAAACCCATCTCACTTAAGATACAGATGTAAAAAGTAAAATATAAAAGTATCAGAAGAAAGGGTAGGAAATTTGTTTTTAATCTAGGAGTAGGGATGGCCTTTCTAAACAGGACTCATTAGCCAGGGGCCATGAAACAAAAAAAATTAATAGATGCAATTGCAAAAATATTTAAAATGTATGTAAAGCAGAAGATTTTGTTGTAAAATTTGTAAAACGGATATTTTAAAATAAGCATTGTATATATGCACAGAACAGCTCCGAAATGATACACAGTACACTGATAACTCTGGGCTCTGGGGGACCAAGAATTGAGTGGGTGGGGGACAGAGGTGGGAGGTAGACTTTCACTTTTATACTGAGACTTTTTCAAAAAAATAAGTATTTCTGAAGGCAAGCAACAGATTGAGGAAAAAAATCACTTGTAGCACTCTGTATTAATATCCCCGCGCCTGTTTTCGAATCATTGCCTCGTCTCCAAGCGGCTCCTTTGTGGAACTGGACCACGCCCGTCTGGTTTGCCAGTTAGCTTGATGTTCATCTCCACCAGTAGGGGATGCAGAAGGGTAGTTGTAAGTCCCTTTAGGAGGGACTCCTTTTCCCTTTGCCCTTTTGTGTGACAGCTAGTGTGTGTGATGTCTAGCTGCAGCCTAAGCCTTCCAACCAATTTCTTTGTCACTGGTGGGCTGTGCAACCCGGTTATCTCTGGAGAAGTCTGAATCTCAGTCACAAGGGAGAGACTCTTCCAAGCTTCTGGGTCTCTCCACCCCATAGGTGGGGCTTAGAGCAGGTAAACTACCACCTGTGGGTCAAATCCAGCCTGCCACCTGCTTCTGTACTGCCCTTGAGCTAAGAGTGGTTTTCACATTTGAACCCCAACTAAGCAAAGTGTCCTCCCAACAAAATGGATTTCATTCTTCTCATTAACAGAACTGTATTCCAAAACATGTACTCGTTATTTTATTTTGAATTTCGTCAATAAAAAGGTTCCGACCATTTGTTTTCTGTGCTGTTTGTTATATAAGTACCTACATCATATCCCTGATTGTGCCTCCTGCCCACGAAGTCTAAAATGTTTACTACCGGGCCGGCCTGTGGCTCACTCAGGAGAGTGTGGTGCTGATAACACCAAGGCCAC